GAGGAAGGCAGGTTTGGGTTTTGGGATTTTTTTAATCAAGGTTAAATTCAGTCAGGTTACTCTGAAAAGATGAATCAACCCATGCCAAAGCAAAATTTGTCTTCACCTCAGCCCCGCTCAACTCCCTACCAAAAAAAATTGAGGGATATTGACTGCGAAAAGGGCACGTGACTCAGAGCATGATAGAACAGCTTGAAACTGGAGCTAAAAATGATTCCGCTACAAGTCATCAAGGATGTGGTCAATACTGCCTGGGCTGCTAGTGATGGAAAGTTTTTCTTGCTCTACTTCTTGATCTAACTGTTGATGTCAGCTGTTCTCCATTGAATTGCGAGTCACTGTCTCCCATGCCAGTTTAATAGACCCTAACGATGGCATAACATCATAGTAGCAAAAAACAAAAAAAGTGTTAATGGCTGAGTATAACATGGAGAAGAAATTAGTGCAACTGATAGAGAACTTAACAACTTTAAGAGCATTAAAAATGAAAGCAATAATGTTCATGCAAAGGAAGCTTGATGTGGAAATGTTATAGGCTGCTAAGATGCATACAAGGACTTAGTGCTCACCTACTCTCAGCAGTTTGGCCACTTACGTTGCTTCAGTTCTATTATCCTGCTTTCCTTCTGTCACTCATTATCCTTTGTGCAAGGGTGCAAATACCGTTCGATAAAGACCTTCCAGTGTAGTATCCTTAAGTAAAACACCAAAGGAAATACTGGCAGCATCAGCAGGGAGAGAGAGACAGCAGAAGGAAAGGGAAATGGCTAACAGTCAGCGAGAGCTAGCTTAGACCACTGAAACATAATCTTCAAAAAAACAGGAGTCTTTTCCACCTATCCAACCACACATAGAAATGACAGTAAAGAAGTTTTACAAGACGCTGTATATATGCTTACATACACACACTTTTTTAGTAATTCATTGGTTTTAAAACTCACATGAAGAACTCAGGGAAATTGAGCATCTCCTTTTGACTGTGTCTTTAAGGTATTTGTAGTCTGGGCATTAATTATCATAAAAAGGATAAATGCATGTTTTCCTCATTCCATTAAACTCTTAGTCTCATATTCAGTAAAAAAATAGATTCTTATAACTAGTAGAAACATTCAAATTTGGATTAGCTGCATCTATTTAATTTGGGAGGGGTGGTGTTAATCCAGAAGTAGGGTAGCACAGTTGAAATCAGAATGCATTCCAGTGTTTTGAGAAGAATGGTTGTGCTTAGATTTTCTGTGCTAGGTATTTGTAATAGGGATTGCTTTCTGCATGTCACATCCGTATTAGTTCATTGACTTGCTTGACAAGACAGATGGGAGAGACTTCATCACGGCATGATAGCTGTCTCTTTGAATCACTCATAGGTGTTAACAATGACCTTTCTTGCAAGGGCAAGATAAATTCGACAGCCAAGAGGTCTTTATAGCAATTTGAAATGTCCACCTACCAGGATGATCTTGGTGTGCATGTGTCTGTGAATTTTAGGTGATTTTTATACAACCTCGTAAATCCTAATTTTGACGTAGGTAGTCAGGGAGGGGAGAGGGTTGTGAAGCACTAAAACTCCAGGACACTTTTTCTTTTTGTTTTTTGTTGTTGTTTTTTTTCCTTACACATCTTAAATAATTATATCTAGAGTAGCCCACTAGGTTTGCAAACTGGCCATTTTGGAACATGAGCTCTTTTAACAGCTTTTAACAGTTGCTCAAAAAAGAGGTAAAAACATACGCAAAACCATTCATTGAGTATCTGATTTTTCCAATTTGAGAACCCTTGAACTCCCCATATGTTGATTTTATGTCTCCCTCAGGGAGACATTAATCTCTTCTTGCTTCTCAGTAAAATACAGCCCAGGGCAAAGCTGAGTTCTAAATATCCTTTAGCAGAAAACTTTCACAACATTTAGATTTAAATACATTGAAATATTGCTTGTGCTCTTAAGTTTTGGGAGATGTACTTTTCAGATATACTCTAAGGAAAATCACTTCTGCTTGCCATGTATTTCGTTACAGTATTTAAACTCTAGTGCCGTATCCTTGTTATACTATAAAAGCAGATGTTTCACAAGCTTAAAGAAAAGCTTTAATGTTGTGACTCCTGTGTCTAGATACCTGCAGGCTCGGATCGAGATACATTCGGTGATGCACACACTTTAAGAACATTCATCTACCGGCCTTGTGCAACGTTTAATGGGAAGCAAATCTTTGGTTTTGAAAGTCGAACAGCATCTGCTACTTAGAACTTAACTCAAAATTCTAAAAAAGCTAAAAATCACATTTCTGCACCAGGGCAGGTTTAGGCTGGACATTAGAAAGCTTTTCTTTACTGAAAAGCGTGTTTTACTTTACTTTTTACTTCTCTTCCTCTGTTCTCTCCTCTGTTCTCTCCTCTCCCTCTCCCTCTCCCCCGCCTTGAACTTTTCTGTCGTGGTTTATCCCCAGCCGGCAAGTAAGCCCCACGCAGCTGCTTGCTTACTCCCCCACAGTGGGACGGGGGAGAGAATTGGAAGAATAAAAGTGAGAAAACTCATGGTTTGAGATGAAAACGGTTTAATAGGGAAAGCAAAAGCCGCACACAGGAGCAGAGCAGAACAAGGAACCCATTCACCACTCCCCATGGGCAGGCAGGAGTTCAGCCATCCCCAGGGAAGCAGGGCTCCATCACGCGTAATGGTTACGTGGGAAGACAAACTCCATAGCTCTGCACGTCCCCCTCCTTCCTTCTTCTTCCCCCCTCCCAGCTTTATATACTGACCAGGATGTCATATGTTATGGAATATCTCCTTGGCCAGCCTGGGTCAGCTGTCCTGGCCGTGTCCCCTCCCAGCTTCCGTGCACCCCCAGCCTTCTTGCTAGCTGGCCAGCACGAGAAGCTGGACTGTCCTTGACTGCTGAGCAACAACTGAAACATCAGCACCTTATCAACATTATTTTCATCCCAGATCCAAAACGTAGCCTCATACTAGCTTTCTATGAAGAAAATTAACTCTATCTCAGCTGAAACCAGGACAACTACCTATTGAGAAGGTAGGGTATTTTACTCAAAATCTTGATTTCATAAAGCTTCCTATCACAGAACACTGTACTGGGAAAACAAAAACCAAAACAACTGTTCTGTAGTAATTGGTCTGTAATAAAATGCCAGTATGGATTCTCATATTCTGGTATAAGAACACCTTTTTCTAATTTAATTTCATCTTTTCTGGAAATCCATCATTAACTAAAAAGGATAATTAGAAAAATTAAGAAATAATGAACACTGAAGTGAGACTACTGTTCTTGAAATGGAGAACACACATCAGTGAAGATGATGAAGAAAATGTAGTGTCTGGCCTTTATGCTTTTTTGTTCACTACTCATAGAATAAGAATTAGGTACTTGTAAAAAAAAAAATAAAACAAAGTAACATTGATTTCCTTTTCTGTCCTATAAAACTATTGATCTGTTTTTAACCTAATTGGCACTTGTGAAAATAAATGGAAAACACAGTAGGTTATTAATGGGGTTCAAGCATTTGTTCCCAGTAAAAGAGTCCTAGGCCTGCTTGTTCGGGGCCGAGCTGGCTGTCCTAACAAGCTAAAGATCTGAGTGCTGTAGCATACTGTATTTGCTTTGTTCTCCTTCTCTTTCATCTCATGTGTCTAATTATTTCTTGTAATTCGGAGAAGTAACAGTGCTAAAGGTGCCTTAAAGTTTTGATACACAACAATTGAGCACATACTGCTAAAAAAGTAGTTTTTCAGTACGAACAGCTGATTAAAGGAAAGATATAAAAAAAGAAGTTTTCCAGTTAAACCCAACAGAGTTTGTGTGACGCAAAGGAACGTTATTTCTCCTATATCCTGCGTCAGAGGCCAGCTGACATATTAATACAGTGTTTACATTACACACAGACATTTTTAATCAGTTATACTTTCCTGTGCTGTAGAATTCACTATGTAGAATCCAGAGACTGTTTACTCAGTTTTGATCCTCAGATATTTTGTTTGTGGGAAAATTTACACATGGGTGAGCCTCTGATTCACGTGCATAAGTATTGCAAGTTTGAGGAATTAATTAAATTTAGGTCTAAACTACCACGCTTTCTTTTAGGCAAAGCAACACTAAAGGTGTTGCACATAAATTCAGTGACAGTATTTGTATTGGTTTCAACAAGCTTTGGCTCAATCTCCAGCTGTATAGTCTGAAGGTTGAGCTTAATGCTTGAGGGTACATCAGGTGAAATTTTATGGCCATCAGAGGAGTTGTCCTGAAACCTAAAGCTCTGTGTGAATCATCAGAATCAGGACAGTTAATTACAAACTACAAATCAGGAACACTGTTAAACAGGCTTATAGTTTAAAAAAACAAAACATGAATAAAACTGCGTGCTTCTCCTTGGTATTTGATATAATTTATTTCATAAATAGTAAAAAAAAAAGGTATACTGAAATTTTAAAAAAAAATGAGCATACAAATGTTTACAGACTTATAGTTCAACCTTTGTTTTTTGGGTCTATCGTATAATTCATAGCAAATATCTTTGTAAAATGCTGTCCTCATAGGGCTATTGAAGATTGCTCTCCCATGTTTGTGGCTGCAATGCCATAGCTCCTGTGGTTATGGAAACCAATGATTCCACATCTGTTTGCCAGTACCCAAAAAGGAAGATAGTGGTTTAAAACACTTGCAAAAATAGCCTTATCTAGCTGACTTGGATTTTAAAGCTGGATATACGTGTGCTCCCTTGGGATAAGATTTGGACCGTCACTCCAGTAGAAATTGTGTAGTAGAAGGATTGTCTGTGTGTGTTATTTTGCATGCTGTAGCAGTGTGCGCATGTGAAAACGGGAGGGAGAGAGACGTAGATTCCAGTTTCATTACACAGTTCTTCTTTCTGTTCACAGCAGTTATGTTTTAGCATGGCTAAAGCTGCAGCTATTAGCAAGGTGATTTTGCATTATTACACCTCTGTGTTAATTTAATGCTGTTGTTTCTCTGTCTGCTCTTGCAACAAAACAGAAGTACTCTGCTGTCTCTCTCTGCAACATATCTACAGAAGTCCTGAAAGTCATCAATGCCACTGAAGAACTGATAGCAGAATCCACCAGTCCCTGTGATTTCCCAGCTGACATTCAGGACAGAGGAAGAGGGACCTTCCCACTGGGGACAGACCCCGTCAGACTTGATGAGCAGCTCACCACACTGGAAGAAAACGTAAGAATGTGAATCAGTACGTGAAAGTGCCACGTGTGTGGGGGAGTGCACCCACGTGTGTGCACCAGCTAGAAGGGAAAGCGCGTAGGCAGCATCAGTGGATGTTCAGAATTAATTCTGGATTATTAAACAAATACACAAACAGAACAAAAAATCCTGTTTCAAAGGGGTGCTCAGCTGTGGTGTTGGTTTGTTTTCTTTTTAACGTGTACTTTAAAATATTTGGGGGAGGGGAGAGTTGGATGTTTTGGGGTTTACAACTAATTTTAGAATCTCTATCTCAGAAGTTAACTTAAGCCCTCCAAACCTCTGTGGCTATGCGGCTGCACCATGCCTGGCTGAAACCACACATCTCCAAGTCCCAGCACAGCCTCATTGCTGTAAGGTCAGGCAGGGAAAGCATGTCCCCAGTCACACAGAGAAGAAGTGGAGGAGCTCTTCCTCCACCCACATATCCCCAGCACCCAGGGAACCGGAGCTGCCTGCTGCACTGTTAAAAGGAGCAAGCTGGAAAAGCTGAATTAAACAAATATTTGTTTGGCCGGGTCTGAATTATCCGTCCCTTTTTCATGAGTACATGTCATCTGCAGGAAAAAGTGCAGTGCTGAATCATAAAGAGAAGTCACTACTCATTGGAAATTTTTATGCATCCACTTAATGAAGTTGGTACACTTGTAACTTTCGATTTTCTCTTCTTCCCACGCTTAACTGATTACATTTCAGTGATTTTTTCCTTTCATTAGGAGCTCTTAAAGATCTCGTAGGAATCTGGGCTGTCCCATTATAACATCCTGATCAATTCAAGAAAATAGATCCTGGTTTTCTTTAGCCCTGGCAAATTTTCAGACAGAATCTCTTCTTAGGGGATAAAATCAGTTTCCTCCACAGAAACACACTTTCACAACAGCCCCAGGCTAGGGACTGAGTAGGAGATAATCCATGGCAATAACAGCCAGTCCTTGAACTAGTCCTGTCCTACTCCAGAGCCCTCGTATGAGTCCCAGAGCTCCCCAATCCCTCTCACCACACCTTTCCTGAGCTCAAATCTCCCAGTCCTGCTTCGATCCAGAGGTTCCCAGACTAGATCCTACCCGTCCTAATTTCATCTGCTCCAAAACCTTTTCCATCTCAGACCTTTCCCTCTGCCCACACCAAAAGGATGTCCTCCAACCCACCCCAGAGCACCTTCGCTCCTCCCCAACCAGCTCCCAATCATAACCTGAACCCCAAACCTTTCCTTCCCACCTCTGCTCAGCCTTCCCAGGCATCCCACTGTGCCAGCTGAGATGCTCCTGCTCCTCCTCGCTTCTGCACGCTGTCCTGGTTGCTGGCATCTCCTGCCCTCCATCATGGAGCACGACAGTCACCTGAACCTGCCCCACCATGGGGCTTTCCACACAGCAGCCATGCTCCTGGCTCTTCTCTGGGAGGGGAATTCAAAACAAACAAGCAAAATAGGCTTGGGAGTCCTCCCCAGTGGGGCTGGGAGGGCAGAAGAGAGGGATGTGTCTAGGGAGACACTGGATGTCTGGCAGCTCAGATATGGCCCTCTGCAGAATGGTAAAGGCTTCCCATAGCAGGTGCGGCTGTAGTGCCTGGAGAAGGGTATAACTTGAGCTTGTGGCAAGCAAAGTGCCTTCCTGATGCCACCCACCATATCCATTTCATTCTTACACAACAGATGTGCCCCCACAACAACTACTTGAGTTTGGTTCATTTTTTTTGGAATAATAGAGGTAGCTAAGTAGGTGGAGATTTTCTCCCCCATGAAATACTGAAGTGGCCTAGCTCCAAACACCACAGAATGCATCTGGTAGGAGAGTGAATACAGAACAGAAATCCAAGTCTAGGCTGGACCACATCTTTATAAAAACTAAGAAATTCTGCAGGAGGACAGAGAGCAATTTGGGGAGAGTTGCTCCCACATTTTTTTATGTGGAGAACTGTGTTGAAAACTGTGAGGTGCAGTTTTTTCCCCAGTTACACTCCGACAGTCCCTCCCATCCTTGCGGAGCTTTGGCATCTGTGGTGCCGTGGCCCCTAGTCATTCCTTCAGGCCAAGCATTTCTCACTGAGCAGAATCTGGGCTCTGAGGCAGAGCATTTCTTGCGGTGGCATCACCCTCTTCACAGCATCTCTCTGGTTTAGCTTGTCTCAGTTCCCTGCATAATTCATAAGGTATCCAGCTCAGCCTTGCCGTGTCCCCACACTACGTCTTTCTCTGCCCCACACAGGATATGAAGTAGATGGCAAAACTTCATGATTTCAGGATTTCACCACCACACTCCGTAATAGAGTTAAAGAGCCTTTAGAAATCCAGGAATCCATAACTTTTTCCAGTGCAGCTGGGGGCATATCTGCATGTAATGTACCCTCTTTGCAGCAAATTTTGGAAGAGGATCTGGGTGTGTATAAACACCTTGTTCTTTTTTGCACTCTCTAGCATTTTGGGGACTGTGCATGTATCAGTGTGGAGAATGAAGGGCCACCTGTACTAGCACAAGGTTGGGTGGGTTTAGTGGAAGCTGTACATACCTAAATGATGGTAAAATAAGCCTCCACAGTCTGAACGTGAGTGTATGCATAAGGCATAATATAGTGGAGACCTGCAAGTATACCATTGCTGTTTAGAAGTTTCTGGCTTTTGATTGCCAGAAGGCATTAGGTGTGTTTCAATAAACACAGCTTTATACGAGGTGTGATCTGTTGAGTTCCCCTTGTAGACTTAGGGTTTTTGTTATACAATTGAGTATCAAAAATAAAAAAGCAAACTTTTCAGCTTTTTTTTTTTTTTTTTTGCTGGTGAATCTGGAACAAATCTGTTTTGGGATACCATTGTAGCGCCTATGCAATTTGGAGTGCAGCCACCTCATGCCTCCCTTCTCTTTGTGGATGTGTGTTTTCAGATTATTCCCCCATGACTTTCCTCTGCCAGGTAAGTCTCCCTGTAGTGGGTTAGCAAGGAGGAAAGCTCAAAGGTATTGTGGAAGACACAGTCTGCTCAAACCTCCGTGCCCACAAAACAGAAATCACTGACACTTCTCCCTGCCTTGGCCCTGCAGGTGTACCTGACAGCCAGCACGGTGTATGGCCTGGAAGGGCAGCTGACCGACCTGGAAGATGCCGCACGCAAAATCAACAGTGTTACTGCAGAATCTGAGCTGGCCGATCTGGAGGATCAGGTGGCCACAGCAGCCGCCCAGGTTCATCACGCGGAGCTTCAGGTGAGGACAGCAGCTCCTCCCCGCCTGCAGGCTTCACGCTGCCTTGCCTAGCGCTTACCTGTTGTCTGCACACACTTACTTTCAGTAGTCGTCTTCTGTGCTGCAGTGGAGTGATGATCCAAGGATGCCGCCTGCATCACAGGAGCCGAGTAAAGCGTAACTGAGATGCGTAACTCAGCCCGGCCAGATGTACTGTATTTGTTTCTTGCCCCACCTTGTTTTTGGACATGGGTGTGCAACAGCCTGTTACTGCAGTACTAACACTGACCCTGCTGCTTGCTGCCAGGCAGCTCGCGTGGTGTGCTCTGGTCACCCGCGTGGCTCTGGTCAGACTGCAGATACAGTCTCGAGCAGTTCATCTAATCAGCAGATGGTAAAGCACTCCCCAAAAGAAGCCAGTGTCAGTACCGTTCTGCCAAAAAAAGGCCAACAGCAGCCAGCTGCCGAGCCAAGCACAGAGCCTAGCACTTGCAAGCCTGCCTTGGGATTTAGCCGCTAAGCGGCACACGTCCCAGTCAAAAGGTAATTTCTCTTGTGGGCTGCGAGCTAGCATCTCTCCAGTGGGCTCCAGAAAGCCTAGGGCTCACACCAACACATGGTGATCTGGTGCTAAAAGCTGAACGAGGTAATGCTGCCAGGCCTCAAGGGGCTAACACTGCTGGCAACTCCCTGCCAGTGATTCCACAGACCAGCCTGCACCGAGCGAGGCACTCTGACCTGCTGTGCCAGGCTCTCATGGGAAGTACCTGGGTATTTTACTCAGCGGGAAAATGCTCAATTTAGGACTGAGAAGAGATCTGAGTCTGACATCTCTCTGATGTCAGAAGTGCACGTCTGCACCGGATGGTGAACTGGCAGTGATGTTTTGTTGGCTTCAGTCATTATTTTGCAGTAAATATGTTAATGGGGGTGAGGGGTGAAGAGGAGAGAGGCCTAAGCTATGCAGGGAGGATGACGAAGAGGCCGACGGAAGGTCTTCCACAGAGTTTCCAGCTTCAGGTGTCATCATGAGTCAGGAGTCAGGTTGATGCCTGACTTCTCTGACACTTCTTTCCCTTTTGACAACATTTGTTTCCACTAGTCTCAACATCAGCCTAGCCTGCTTTCCCCTAGATGTTTGCTTTCTTGGACTTTTTTTTTCCTAGCAATTTGTTTTCTGTGGAGTGTTTTTATATAGTGTGTGCCTGCATTTATGCATGTTTGTGTTTAACATACATATACAATTAAATTATAAATATTTAAGATCAACTGTTTAGATTTTGTGATGGAGGATGTACTTTGCACGTGCATGAAATTAATTTTGAATTAGGAAATGTGTCCCACAAAGTCATTCTTTGAATGTAGCTTTTGAAAAACGCACCTTGAATGAATTTGGGATTATGCAGCTAAAGGTAATTGGGAGATGGCAGACGGGGGTTTTCTCTCCTCCTTTCTTTTCTTCCTCAAAAGGAGTAAAATGCCTCTTCCTTGGAGTCACAAGGTAGGCTGGATTGCTCTTTTACTCCATAACTAACCAATTAACCCCCTTTTGACATCAGGACTAAAGAATACAGGAAAGTGTCAGAATTGCAGAAGAAGTTAGCCATCTGTTTATATTTTTTTATTAACGAGGATTTGACTGGGGGAGGGATATATTTTAGCAGTGGCATCCACAGTAATTTTAAAACTTCTTTTTCCCCCTCCCCATCTGTCTGTCTCTCTCTTTTATTTTCTTTGAAGATTTCAGATATTGAGAGCAGAATATCAGCTCTCACTGTTGCAGGTTTGAACGTGGCTCCATGTGTTCGCCTGACAAGGAAACGGGATCAAAAGCAAACAAACCAGGTGCCAGAACATTATGTAGTATTCAAAAATGCATTGGGGAAATCTTGCCTCTTTTTCTATAATGGGATTGAGTAATGCATATGTGTTGTTTACAGATGCATACAATAGACACATCGAGACAGCAGAGGAGAAAACTTCCCGCTCCACCAATAAAAGGTGCACTTCAGTTGTTACATACATTACAGAGAGAGAGTTTCTCTTTATTAGGTTCAATATAATGTACAGTTCAGCGAAGTAGGGGAAAGATTAAGTTACAAAATGAACAGAGAAAGCCTAAGTATGTCCACCCTCCTCATTTCCCATTGTACTTGCGTTACATAAAATACCCATTTGTCACATTAAAAAGCATCACCACTTTCTCTTCAGTGGAAGTTGGGACAGTGGCGAATTAATAGGAGCAGAAGCAAAAGTGTGGGAAAAGTAAATGAGGAATGCTGAATGCCTTGCAACTGGGATGCTACTGCTCCAGCATGCCTGGGGTTAGTTTGTAAGCCCAAGCAGTCGCAGTGTTTAATTACCAAAAGCCAGTTGCCACCCTCCACAACCCACCGTTGTTTTCTTAAAGCCTATGTATGCTGATGTCGGTCCATCTCATGTGGCTCAGCAGTGTTCCTGGTATGCTAGGGCTTGAATTTGCTTTATAAAATAAAGTGCTTTTTTCTTCATGTTTTCTCTGTTTTTTTAACCCTACAGTGCATTATCTCTGGCAATTCTAGGGCCTGCTTCACCTTGCATTACTCTTGTTTTACTCTTGTGTAATTCCACTGATTGACATGGCCTCAAACTTTAATAAATTTGGAGTATCACAGCCTGCTGTTTTTAATTTAAATTAAATACAGCTTTCCTCATATGTCTTAGGGGAAGTTTTAGCTCTCTAGAAGCTAAATACTCTTCAGGAGTATTGTTACATCTGCTTCAATCTGTTATGTGAAAAATCTCCCTTTTTGTACTTTTCCCAGGTGAAAAAATAGATGATTCTCCAGTTACCACTGTCAGAACATTTAACAGAAACTTCATGCTTCAAGGATCTCTAACACAAAGAACTAAAGAGAGGAAAAGCACTGCCAAGGACTTAATGGTAAACTCATAACAAATGTTTTTAAAACTGCTGTTAAAAGCAGTAAATAGAGAGAGTGGTATCTGGGTAGGCAGATATATTTCAGCATCTTCACAAAACTTCGCTTAGTAGTTTGAGGAAAAAGAATATAGAGACTGCTGAGGCAGCTCTGAGCAAATACAACCAGTGTCCTGGAAGATGTCTGACTATATACCATAGTATAGCAGCTCCTGAATGTCAGCCTGTGTGAGTGTACCCTGGCTGCCAGGTCTCCAGGAATGTGCTGCCCTTATTTTTTTAAAAAATAAATAAATTAGTGGTCCCCTGCGATTCAGACTTCTGAACCAGACCCTCACAGAACCAGCTGCACACTGGAACTCAGCAGTTACTGGAACTGCACACTGGAACTCAGCAAGGTGACTCAGAGAGTCACCTTGAATCTCACTAATTTTTGAGAAACGTTCAAAGGTTACCTAAGTGGAATTAAAGGGGTAGATAGGCCATGCATTGGCTCTACAGGGTTTGAACAAATAGGCTTCACTGGACAGCTGTCAGTCATTTCTTTTACAGCAGCCATAGAGGGATAAGGAAAAAAGCTGACTGTCCCAAAGCAGTCTGCCACTAGACATGTGGAAAGTAGGTGGGGAGGTGAGAAGGGGAAGGACCTGGCTCCCTAGAAGCTTCAGCAAGCTTGTGTTGTGTTTTGCTCATCTTTTTTTCTTTCCTGTCCCTCTCTCTTCTAGGAACCTGCTATAGGATCTGCTGTGATGTACTAAACTTACACTTCCCTACTGCCAATAACACACTGCCTAAGGCTGTACACTAGAGTGCCTTTACTTAACAGCCATTGTGTATGTCCAGCTGAAAATGGACCCTCAAGAACCCACAATGCCTCAGTTATAGGGCTTCGTTCGGATACCTCACTGAGAAAGCTAAGTCTTCAGCATTGTGGTCTGCTAAAGGAAACTCTGCCTTAAAGTTCTCACAAGACTTTAGAAAGGATGCTGAGTTTCAAAAGCAAAGCTCCACATTTTAAGATGCACTTTTTCTCCCTATTGATTGTACTAAAGTATGTCGTCTTTAAACCGCAGTATGTTTTTGTACACTCAGTCAATCATAATTATAGGCCAATATTTCATACCAAGCAGACCTGTGATCCATACTTGCTGGCCTCTTACCGTTCACGTAGGCATCTGTCTTGTCGAGCAATAAGAACAGCTCTGTGCAGTGTTATGCTGCTTTTCAGCTGCGTGGTGGGAGCGGAGAATCGGTGTACCTAGCGCTGCGCCCAGGGAGCCAGTGGAAGTTTGACAGGGTTTGTAGGAGGAGATGCAATGTGCAAAGACTTCTCTGTTCACAGAGGGTATGTTTGGCAGAGTTAACGTTCTAGCTCCCGAGCTAGGTATTTTGCTTTTGGTGGCAGGGAGAACATGGATGTCATGTTGAACCATGAATTGGTGGCAGCACATGTGGACCATATGTCTGTTGAGTGACCATCCTGGTGTCTGGAAACATCTGAACATTGTTGTGAAACCAACACCTTTGTATGTCTTGTTCTTCTTGGTAGCATTGTCCGCTTGGTGGTGCACAACCACACTGTAGTTCAGAATAAATTTCGACGAAATCTTTAAGATTGGTAAAAGAAAGTAAAAGCACTGTGGATGAGACCTCTGCTGACTGGCTGGTGCTCGTGGGGTGGCTGAGCCTGTAAGAGATTCCCTTCTGCCGTTTCCTGGCTGTTGAGGAGGGGGCAAATGTAGACCAGGCGTCTTTTCTTTTACTAGGCTGCAGCCAACGTAGAGTAGCTGGGACCTGTTGCTGGTGCCACGTGCACCCCACTACCATTGGACCATTCTGAATTGGACTGTGAATAGTAAAATTTCTTTTTTCATTTCTTGAGACCTTTGAAAGGTGACCCAAACTGGAAGGGCCCTTGAGCAGATGCCCAGGAGGGCAGATGCTGCTTACAGGGTGCCCCTCTCACACTTTTGGGGGAGGACCTTGCCAATTTGTGGTACTTTTTGCTCTGAAGAATACAAAGGAGGTAGTTAGAGGAGGTTGATAAGCCAGTGAATCCCTTATCTTCCACGCAAAGTGCAGAGCAGGTACCCAAATGCAGACTGGGTTGATGTGAAACGTGCTGTGAAGGAGGGCACGGGCTGGCAGGTTCCCCCTCAGCGTTTAGGAGCAGTGAGCTCTCCGGAGAGCAGTGGGCACCAGGGAAGGAGGAGAGCTGCTCCTTTCTGTGGGCTCCCAGGGAACACTCGCTAGCAGGGTGCTGCTCTCCGCTGGGACACCAGGCCATGAAGTGTCTCTGGTTGGGCAAATATGAGCAAAGCTGGGCAAACTCCCTGGCTAGGCTGGATTTAGGGAGGCAGGTGGGGAAGGTGAGGAACAGCTGGGTGGGATGGTTGGAAAAACAGTGCCAGCTGCAGATCTGCCACCCAGTTTGACATCTAGCTTGTCAGTACTCTGACGTCCAGCATGTAAGGAACCTGCAGAATACATACAACCATCTTCCCACCTAGAATACGTAAGCGTCGCTCCATCCCTTCAAGGAATTTCCATCTGCCCAAGATCTGACCCAATGTGTTCATTCTGGGTGAAATTATGCCTTCTTTTTTCTCTCACACAATATTAGTTCTCTGAAATTGATTTGCACAGATGTGAGGGCAGAATTTGGCCCACTCTGTTTAATACATAAGTATATATATAAAACAAATAGATTTTATTTATATATGCAATCCAGTAAAGGAGATTAAACAGAGTAGGATGCCTAGTAATGTTTTTGTTATCCAGACTCCTCTTCCTTCCTTGACTGTTTTTGTCTATGTATACAATACATTCCCAGATTCTGGTTTATGCAGGTATGCGTGTTATGAAATGTCATTAATGGTGGTTGGTCTACATATTCGTCTAATAAATAATAACTAATATTGTGTATGTAATATCAATACAGAAATTACTAATTTTAATAGAATAACTCTTTGGCTTTTGTTCTGTTAGTGTGATTTAAACAAGCCAACAAAGTTTGGAATAGGTTGTTTTCCTTAAGAGGCATGCAAAGCATCTATTATCGTGTTACAATGTTAAAATATTCAGTCTTCTTTGACAGAAAAATATGTACTGTGTAGGCATTGCAAAAACAAAAAAAAAAAATTAAAAAAAATCCCACCTGCTATAAGGCATTTGAATTTTTACAAATGTTTATTGTGCCAAATATGTGCAAAGATATAATTTACTGTTTTAAAAAAATCATAAAAGCATATGTTATAGCACACAAAGAATTATTTTGTCATCAAGTGATTTCAATCTTTAGTGTTAATATTTATATTTAGATTAATTTTTATAAATGAAAATATTTTAATGGGTAAAATGAAGACTATATGATCTATTTGATTAAGTCTGAGTGAATATTAAGCTTGCCTTGTTGTTGTTCTCTGCATACTCACCAAGAACTATTGTCAAGAGAAATTATAAAAGAGTAAAAGCGATTTATGAAAAGAATGCCTTTTCAAGGACCTGATTCATAAAGAAAAACCAAAAGTTCTTCTCTGTCGTTTGGATTTATGTACTGCCTGTCTGCGAGGGACCCCGTTAAGCCCAGGAGATGGGCAGCTCCGCAGAGTTACCCTGGTGAGCTGAGGGGAGGTATACAGGTTAACACACTCGGTTCAGATTTTTTCCACTGGGGCTGGGAGGAATCTGTTAGGAACACTTGCTGCTTAGTCTTCTCCAAACTGTCGAGACTCTTGGGCAAAACACCATCTCAAACAGAATTTCTCGGGCAGAATTTCTGTGACTCCCACTGGGATTGCTACAAAATGACAAACTGAGCAAGAACCCTGCTGATAATCCTTATTCTAGTATTTCCGAAGTCCCATGTGTTGAATGCCAATCAAAGTATTTCTTCATCAGCTTATTTTCTCCACCATGAGGGTGTTCATTTAAACTAGCATGTTGTAAGTACCACTTTGGGTCAGCAGATACGTTGTATAATAAATAGTAGTAACTACCTTCTTGTAATAGAAATCCACCCCTTGCTGACAGACCATTTGCAAAGAGACAAAAAGGGTTAAATTATCTGCAATGATTAATTCAACCGTTATTAAAGTTTAGTAGTAATTCTAACAAAGCACAAGAAATGCAAGTTCATTCTAATTTGTCTTTTGCAGAATGATTCATGGCCTGGATTTAGCCATCAGTCATTAGCTAAATTATAAACTATCTTTTTCGGATATAAGCCATAGATTAAACTGCATTCAAATATTTTTGCTGGTAATAGTTATTGATCAAGCTTAAACATATTGTAAATAACACTTCTTATAAAATTAATATAACAAAGTTAATTACCGTGGCAAACACAAGTATTGAGACACAACCCCAGGCTTATTGATGGACTAATGTAGTAGATGGTACATGGCTTGTGATCCTCAAAGAGTGACTTTAGCTCGATCAGATAATGTACTTACTTACAAACAACTACATTGTTTTAGAGGGAATTAGCTATTTTAGGCCCTTACCCCTTTTGGATAATGGTGCACAATTACATGCAGTAGGCACAAAACTACTCTGAAGAGTTTAATTAGCCTTTTTTTTTTTTTTTTCTTTGACAGGAGCTCCTTTTTGTTCATTAATACATCTCTCCAGCAGTACAGGAAGAATCATGAAGGGCCAGTAGGTAGTTCAGGGCTACAGTCCTACAAGTGGATGTTAACAATCTATATAAAAACTACACACAGAGCACCAGCATTTCATGCCATTATTGCAGGTACATTAAAAATTAGTGAGAGCCTTTTGTCTTTCTTCCAACCATTGCTTTTTATTTTTACATATCAACAGCCATTGACTTTGAAATGTGACAGGAACGTTTCATGATACACTTAACACTGCAGAGTTTAAATCCCAGCACAAAAGCCGGTTTTTTGATAAACCTGACATTACAGTGAACAGCCTCAAGAGATTGCTGGGGATGTAAGACAAAGAAACATGTTTATAAGCTATGGTAGCACTTGGTGCTAGTGTCCATGCATTGTCTTTTACCTGCACCCTGAACTTGTTTCTTTTTGAAGGAACTTGCACAAGCAGAAAGAAGAGTAGCATGGGATTGCTAGTCAAAAGCAGAACTGGAGGTCTGAGGTGCAGGGGAGTGCACAATTCAAAGACTAGAGGTTGGGTGACCACCTCGGGGAACAGAGATCACCAGTCACTGTCTTCTCTCCCCGACACTTTTTGCTCCCACAAAGCATCCAAGATGAAATCCAGGTGCCTGCTCACAGGCCTCTGGCTGCCACGGCTGCTTCTCATCTGCCTCTTCCCAAACCGACCGATGGGGCGAACGCCACGGCCCACGTACCAAAAAGGATCAATCTCAGGACCTGGAATTCAAAGCAGTCAGTGAAGCATCGACCACTGTACTCAAAGGCAGCATTTCCTGAACATCCTGAGGGTGTTAAGCGGCTTATTTGCAGTCCAGGAAAAAAAAAGGGGGAAAAGCTGGAGCCAGACACACAACATTCTGGTGCTTTTGAGGGCTGCTTTCCATGTGTAGAGCCCAAAGGAGGAGGATTCATATGCAAAATTAATTTTCATCCATCTGGGCTGCAACCTGCAGTTCTAGCATAAGCCAAAGTAGCCATCGAATTCAGGAGGGCACAGCGTGCCATAAAACTGATCTGAGCCCTGGGAGAGGTTATAATGCAGCCTGCATCCTGAAAGACCACAGCAGCTCCCTGTACCACCACTTTCAAACTGTCCTCTCCTAGCTAAAGTCCTG